ATATTGTTAATATATGCAATTTGACTCATTGTCATCTTTTTGTATCTAAGATCTCTTATCGTCTGGCTGATTATTCCCTTAGCTTTTCTCTTTACTAGCACTTCATTCATTCTGTTGTTTAGCCAAATTTCCCTATGAGCGAAATATGTGGATAATTATATTGTTTGTTCAGTTTTGATTATTTATTAATTTATGTTTGTTAGTTTGTCTTTTTAGTCTAAAAAAACTGTTAAATTTATTTAGTTTAAAATTTTTCATTATACAGTTAATTAGCCAATTCAAAAAAGGCTTTAATGTCCACTTGCTTAAAAGATGAATTTTGAAGCTTTCTTATTTTCTTTTGCAGATTTGACAAAGCTTGGTCATGATTTAACCAGGCTACCTCATTAACATCTTGTTGTATAAAGTAGTATTCAAGCACTTCTACAGCACTTAGTGCTTCATGATGAGTAATTTGGTGTATTTCTGTACTATTATTCTTCTTTTTATTACTTTCATTCTCTTCCTCTTCAGCATCTTTAGTCTTTTTAAGTTTTAGGTTAGTAAAAAGATCCAAAATCTCTTCATTATTCAATATTTCATTTGTTTCTTTTTCTTCTAGATAATTAACGTATTCTTTAAGATTCATTATGTTTTGAAAATGGAATGCTTTGATATCAATATATATTTCTTTCATCAATTTATTATTATTGTTATTATTATTATCATAGACAAGCTTTTTATCATTTGATGTAATTGGAAGAATTTTTGTATGTTTAAAGCAATTACTTACTGTTTCTGATGATACTTCTTTTTACACTCAGACAATAAATTTTATAACATTAAAAATATTCAATTTGTTATTCTTTCCAGATTCATACTGATCAAGAAGCCATTTTATAAAGTAACTTTAATATTGACACTTAAAGGACATAATAATGCTAGCATCTATAGGTTGAATACGAGATGTTGTGTTTGAAGAAAGATAATGAATAGTTGTATTATGAAGATTTAGATTACTGAAAGAATGACATTTTGCATTGTCCATCAAGAGAATTATTTTACATCTAGTCATCTTATTGTCAAACTCTTTAAGCCATGATTGAAATAATATACTTGTCATTTAGGCTTTTTTACTTGTCCTATATGTTACATCAAGCTTATTATATTTAATATTTTTAAAACAACATGGATTTGAAGACTTACCAATTACAAATAGTTTTATTTTATTTGTTCTATTAGCATTGGCACAAAGTACCAAGGTTAATCTTTCTTTATCCTTTTTTTTACTCTTAAAATTAATAATAACAAGTATAGTATCTGGTTCAAGACTAAAAAGAACAGAATTATAAAATAAGTACAGATTAGTGAACTTTATATATTATTTATTTCCTGTTATAGAAAAAAAATATAGAGATTGAAATTGAACTTATATAATATTTGAATTTATTGATTTGCATATTGATTCACATAATTGTTTTAATTGTTAATAATCATTAGAACAGTTAGACCATTAGGATATTTTTATAATAGCTATAACAGTCATAACAATTATAATTATTACAATAGTTATAATAGTTACAATAGCTATAATTACTATAATGATATAATTGCTATAATAGTTATAACTGTAGATAGCAATAAAATTTAAAAATAGAGATTTTAACAATAAAAATTAGAATGTTCTTTTTGAATTTTACTATAATGGCAGTACATTGCTTATCTTGCATAATATTTATTTTTTACATGAATTTATGCATAAATATTTGAATAAATTTAAATTGAATTAATTTGAATATTTAATGAATTAAATATTTGATTCCAATCTCTAAAATAACAGTTAATTATTCCTTATAATGAAGAATAAAGTTTATTATTACTGATAAAACAAGCTTGTTTCATCCATATTATAAATATCTTTTAGATTATATCTTTTTAATACCTCTCTTAATTTAGGGATAATATCTGCAATGACATTATCATCTACAGAAGCATTTTTGTTATGCTTTTTTATTTGCCCTAACTCATATTTTTTTTTAAATTTATATAATCATCTATATGAAAATTTAAAGTCTCCATCTGGTATTTTTAACAATTTGGCAAATTTTTTTGCTTTTTCAATTAGAATAGCATCATTTAAAATGATTTGGTCTTGGTTTTGCAAAATTCATTTATGTAATATATCTTAAAATCCAGATATTAAACTGTTTTTTTTTTTTTTTTTAAAGAGATTATTTCCAATATCATCTTTATTTTTTATTAGATGCCAATAGTAGTTGGATAAACCTCAAGGTTAAATTCTTTTTTTACTTACTCAGCAAGATCAATATTGCTGATATTAGAATGTTTATTTTTATGATCAATGATATCCTTTCTTTCTTTGTTATTAAGTGTGGTTTTATTTTTTCACTTGTTAAAAGACATGTTGTTGCTGTTATTATGATAATATATGAAAATTTATTTTATTGTTTTCTTTAAAAATACTTTAAATATATATATTTATAATTATAAAGTACCATCTGCCTAAAAATTCTCATATTGGAATCAATGCTTAAAATTTTGTGATACATGATTTTGGTTTATGTTAAAAAATTTTTATGCATTATTCTTATAAGATAACTGCATTTTAGATTACTTTTTAAATCGAATATGATATTGTAATAGAATTTATTTTTTTTTCTATATTAGTATATATTTATTTTTAGCTTAATATTATATTTTATAATTTTCCTAATATTTTTACATAGTTTATAAATTATTTTATTAGTTTTAATCACCTATTTAATAGGTTAATATTTATTT